ATGGTTCTTCAAAGTGAACACTAGGATGGATGATGTGCAACATTCAGGCTCACCTAAATCCAAGATGGTGTCTAGTCATCAATCAAGATGTATATGCTGCATTTTGGAAACAAACTTAACAAGCAAGTTTGCTGTGGATTTATTGTTGCAAATCTTTTTAATTCACTATTATATCTCTAGGTATGGTTATGATGAAGCATTCTAGTTGCCAATTTAGTGGCTAGTTCTCAGGATTTAGTCGCCACAGCAAAAAATTTAGTTGCATTGGCGCCTGTATTAGGCACAATTTCACGCCCTGATTCTAACAAACAAATCAAAAGGGTTAATGTAAAAAAATTACGGTTGGGAAAAAAAGTTAAGATTGAAAGATTAAAGGAAGAAAAAAACAGAATACTTGAAAGAGCCTTATAACGGGTCATAGCACATGTACCTACCTTGTAATCCATATATATCTCTGTAGGCGACGGATCATTTCACTTATACCCCCAGAGTGAAAATGGAGTGCTGGTTGAGTGGTGCCATTTTTTAACATAAATACAGCATAAGACCAGGCCAACTTTGGGTCAGAACGTCTGATAGAGTGCAACTCTGAGACATTGAAGTGAATGGCATACATGGATATCCTCTTTCTCTTCTGGACACTTCCATCTGTTTACAATGCCCACGAACAACCAAAAATAACATCAAAAAGTCATTTAGAGAACACTTTTAATGCCTTCACTGCCTGCATGACATACTGAGTATGCAACGCAATTTGCATATTGTGGGCCTACACACTCAGTATTTTGAAAGTTAGAGAGTAGCACTCAAATCTCTGGCACTGGAGATGTAAAACAAACTGACCTCTAAAACTCAAAACTAGTTAAGATTTTGAAAAATTAAGAATAAATCCATCTGTGTTGGTACAAGACTTCTCAGTGGAGTTGGTGGTTAAAGACCTACCATTGGCCAGTATGCATTGCGAGCTTCTGTTTTTGTTATAGTTTTCACAAGAGCAAAGCTTCTATTATTTTCCCAAAGCTTTTGGAATAATCAACATCAAGTTAATGGTCACCAATTGTCAATGCTATGCCTGATGCATACTGGTTAAAAATAGGTCTTTAAAAGGTGAACTGATTGGGAATATTGTAGATCCACAACTCAAGTAATTGATGCATGACTATACTTTCATTGATTAAATACAACAAGTCAATCAAAACATATTTGCCACAAATGCCAGTTTCACATTTTATTTCTTACAAAAGTTTACCAACCCCTAAGCAAGTAATTCCAATGCAAAGGAGTTGTAGATTATAGGACGGTACATCATGCAAGACAATGATTAACAAATGAATGTATACAGTCTCCTCAAAGTTGTTTAACAGTCCTAGACCCTTCCGAGGTGCAAAGTTCCTTTGACTGCTCTAAAATTCAAGTGTTTACAAACACCAATTTTGAAATTCACATGGGCCGAACTACAATCATGTAGATGTGCTTTGTGGTTTCTAACATCAACTATCAGAGAACATAACTTGAAAAACACTTTTTTGTAATAATTAATCAAATAACTATGCTTGTAATTTATACAGGTATCATAAATTACCTTCCTGTTTACTTTGAGTGACAAGATCCCATTCAGAATAGTCACTTGTTTCCAGCTCAAATTCTTCTTCTTCATTCACTGCAGGTGACCAATCTACAAATGTGCTGTTTTGCTGTCAAAAATAATTAAAGAAATTATTTAACTACATTGTATTGAATATTATTATTAAAGGGCACGGTAACAAATCCTGCAATCTTATTGGTTCTTTACCCAGTCAGTATTTTCTTCTCTCTGCCCAAGGGCCACAGTAACGCTTTCACGAGTCGCCAAGTACATCCCAACTTTCGTTGCCATTTTTCATAAATATATCTCATTTTTCCGGCTGTGCAGTATTTACAAGCAACCACTTCAGCCACTATCTCAAGCTGATAAATAACTTATGAATCCTCTCTTTTCTCTCTCTCAAATCACTTTGGTTGACAGAAAGATATTGGTTTCAGAATAAATTTGTGTAAGCAATAACGTCATTACATTGGTTGACAAGTGGCCTATAAACATTCTGTGATTAATTTTAATTGTTCACAAAAAATACCCAGAAAGTTAAAACGTGAGGTATTTGGTTACTGAACGATGGAACTTCCATTCATTTAATAACTGAATTTTCTCAAACAATTCGTTCGTAGTGAAAGAGCAAGAGAAGTTTTAATTTCAGTTCTACAACAAATATACGCTCCCAGTGAGTCTTTCCAAGTCCGTTCAATTTGGACATTTGTACCGTAAATTGCACAACAGAAACTGAAGGAATTTATTGAGAAAAGGCTGCATTAAATCCCCTTGTGTCTCGTTGGAGTGTGCCATTCGAATTTAGTTTTGTGGACGAAAGACCAGATTTACAAACGCCATTGCAGCAAAAAAACGAGCAAACTCTCACAACTTCAAATTAAAAAATTTGAATTTACTCAAAATTACTTTCCTTGCCGTTTCCTTAATGAACAGAGGTAAATCTTTGAACATGAATGAATCATCAATCAGAGCGAATAATGCTTTCCATTAGATCATTGACTGTTTTTGAAGAAAACATTGTCTTAACAGTCCTTGCCAAACTAGTTCCGTTGTTTTTTAAATCTTCTTACGCTTTTTTTCTTACGTGCTCTCTAATTGACAGGTGTCAGATTGTGACAGATACTTGTAAAAATAATGTTTCAAAGTTTGTTAAGAAGCCTTTTAAATCACCTTTATTGTTGCTGAAATGAAAATGTTTCCGTGAGGCATCTCTCTTTAATTTGCATCACCTCTATTTTAACCAGGTGCTTGCTCAAAAATAGTTCAGTTTATGGAAGATCTTGCCATATTTACAGCCCTAAATCATTCGGGTTCTTTTGGAAAGAATCTTGTCAAGTTTAAAAAAGATAAATATGTTATTCACCAGCTAAGGGTCGGTCCATATGGTGAAAAACTGTGACCGAGGTCACAGTTTTTCACCATATGGAACTCCCAGCCGGCAAATAACATACATGTATCATGTGCAATACTTATTGAGTAACTAAATTGACCCTGAGAACCATATTTTAGCCAGGTCACATAGTTTGTTTTTTTTCCACAAATTGTGGGATGGCATTAACATTCCTTACTCCATGGCAGCTTGAATGATTCATCCAATAAAAAGGGGCTTGCAACTTAAGGTCAATTTACAGGTGGAGATCAGGAAACGGTTTCATAATAAAACTATTGGAAAATAGACAACTGCAACTAAAAGTCTCCTAAGTCTTGTACAATTATAATAAGAGTGATATGGGGATTGGAGGTAAAGATGATTTATAGAACGAATTTTTAGAATAGACCCCTATAAAAATCCGTTGATACGACAGGTTGGCAACAAAAAAATACAATGACACCTCTATGACTGATACTGTAAGAGGTTACAAGACAGTTTAATTGAGGAAACATCGACATCAGGCAACGGGAAATACTTAAATTTTTTTTTAAAATGAGTCTCCATAAAATATATCAAGGTACCATAGTAGTAAGGACTACGTGAGAGCGAATCTTCACCTACTTTTTCGATAATTGTGACAATTCCGGGAATAATGTTGGCACCCTGTGTAGCAGTTAATACAGCAGTGTGCACGAACACGCCATCTTGGCTAAACACCACCTGAAGACAGTAAGTCAACAGATGACAATTAATGCGATCAATCAATGGTGGAAAATAAACTTTACGAACCAAAATCATAAAAAAGTTCTTACGTACACCTGCTAATCTTGATATTTGACCATAATTAAACTAACCTTTCCTTGGACATCGGCCGTCTGCACAGAAGAGTCCTCGCATGTCGCAGTAGAATTCGCCGCCGCCATTATTTGTATCGAAACTTGATTGAGAAAGTTTACATCATCGGTAAAGGTTAAAAATGTCCAGACTATTTATAATAAATTGAAAGAGCAAGAAAGAGCACGTCACAGTACGTAATATTTATATATATTTATGATGACTCCGTTTACACTTCAACCCACGTAGCAAACGCGAAAAGCAAGATAGTATTTCATGTAAGCTACCTTAACATTCACATAACGCAAAAAATTATTATCTCGTGCCCAGTGTCCTTGAGTGCAAATAAATAAACGGTGTTTATAAGTATAGGTAATCACATGATTTCGAGTACAATATGGAGTAAATAAGCACGAGTCAATTTTTTCAAAGGCTAACAAAATTTACAAGTACTTATTTATTCCAAATTGCACGAGAGGAATCATGTGATTACGTATTAATAATATACATGAAAAAATACGAGAGAGCTTATCGTAATTATGCAGAAGCAAAGCGCGTGCATTAAGTGCTAAAATAATTTATTCAAAGTCTGCGAGCTAGTAACGTTGTGCTTTCGGTCAAAACAACCACGTACGCTCAAAAAAATAATATACAAAGATATTTTCACATCTTTAAGGCGCAAAAAGGTTCAAAGTCCGGCTAAACAGTTCAAGGAATTGTTCAGTCTGGTTTGTTACTTCTTTGCACTGAATTAACCCTCCTCTGCATTGAATTACCTGAAAACTGAAGCATTTATCTAAATCAATCAGAACTGAGTAATTTTTTCATGTATCTTATCAACGCTTATAAGTAATTTTTTAACTGACAAGGCTGCATTTGTATCAAAAGCTTAATCAACGAGTACTAATGATTTATTTTAATGAAAACGAAGTTCTATAAAAAAAAGTAATTGTGACAGTTTCTTTTAATAGTTGGTATAGTCTTTAAAAAGAATGCTAATTACCCCACGTAAATTCACAATAAATATAGAAGAGAAAGTGAACTATACATGTCGCCCGTTATCATCCTTTTTTTTCCGAGAAGTAATTGAACAAAGCTAAGGATGGACACGCCAAGCCCTTCAGTTAAAGATTTAGAGAGAGACCTGAGAACGAGTGAAAAATGTGAACTATTTGTGTTACATACATGAAAGATCATATGATGTATTTTCAAAGTCTTGCGGATGACATTTGTGGTCTTTTCCTTCAACATGGATTCTTCGATTACCAGTTTTAGTACATAGCTACGGCCATTTGAGTTGATTTACCCAAATTCTTAAAGCTATGGATTTACATCTACAGAATAAACTCGGAAAGGTTTGTGAAAATAACATATGTGTAAACAAACAAACTTAATAAGTTTTTGCATGTACCTAGTAGCAGAAAATTTTCCTTGTCAGCTCACTGTGATATCATAATATCAATTTGCTTCACAAATAAAAAAATATCTTTCGATCATTTCTGAAAGATGTTTGAAAATATTATGAAGTGTTTGAAAAGGAGATTAATCCGTGAAAATGTATGAAGGTGGAAATTGGCGACAGCCGTATACGTTGCATTGAAAGTCTGTTTGGTATTAATGAAATACAATTATCACGTAGGCTAGCTTGTTAATGCTGAGTTCGAGGTCTATTGTGAAACTCAACGTATCAAATAAAAACCCTACTGTTTCATTTATTGCAACCTCAAATTTAGAGCCGAGTGGTAGTCACCTAAAATTATGAATACGTTCTACATCAGATTTCGTAATATTAATTTAATTCTAATTAGCTAGAGCATCTGTATAAACCAGTCATTTTCAGCCACAAAGCGTCTCAAAATCATACAGTCTATTTTCAATTTTGATAAATTGTTTGCGAAACAAATTTGGGAGAAAAAAATCTACTAAAGCAAGAAAAATTATGCAATAAAGATAACAAGCAAACGTATGGCAAACCAACAGTATGGTCCGAATGCATTTTGAATTTGTAAAGTGCTACTTGACTCAATGCACTCATGCCACAGAAGATGGAGGTAGTTTTGTTTGTTTTAGTTTCTAATTTTATTCTGAAACCTTGCTGATTTTTGACAAACCAATTTTCACACTTTTTATTTTTTCCCCCTGCTGTACGGTTTCATTGACATGCTTGTCCCTCCTGTCTGAGGAATCTCCCATCTCCTGCTATCTACCTCAATGTTCTCCTCTGCTGGAATTTTTATGATGTGTTGAAAGGGACTACTGTAGCTAAAAGTAATCAAGAAAACTTACTCCTGCTAGGTGTGAAATTTAACTCAGAAAGTTTGCCTACTCTGTTTTTCATGATGAAACATCTTGGGTATTATTATGTTTTTTTGCAGTATAAACATGCAAATCTTTGTCGTGCTGATGTTATGAGGGCACTGCATCAGTACCCTACCTTACCAGCAGATCTGCAAAACTTTAGTAAGTGAGCCTTTCAATTTTGAAAGCAGTTTTTAACTGTTGGAGACAGGTTTTTTGAAAAGAATTTTCTGTGTATGTGTAATGATGAACTTTTTCTGAATATTTTTGGATTTAATAAGGTTAAAAAGCAAGTTTCTAGTTTGTTAATTAAAAATGAAATGTACAAGTACATAAACAATCCATGATACATAGTATTAATAAGCAATTTCAGTATTCCATCTAGAGAGGAATCTTGAACAAAAAATATAATAATGTATATTCTTAGCAGGTGACAAGTGAGACACGGTTTGATACTACTCTGATATAAAGATTGAATGAATTTAACTGGGAAGTTACGATTCATAGACATAGGCATGTCTGATTGTCCACATTGTTGCCAGTGAACTTTAATAATTATGTCTTAAGTGATGAGTGATTCAATTTATAACTCAAGTTGTAATGTTCAGGTTTAGTTTCCAATACTCAATCATAAGTTTTATATTTTTCTGTGATAAAACTTACAAAAATTAGAAAGGGAGACAAAAAGGTATCTGTTAAGATTATTCTTGGATGAATTGATCCCACAGCACATAATGATGGGAGAGAAGCTCAATTACTTGCCTTGGATGGAACTCTTCCTGTTCTGATCAGAGGTGAGACTTGCTGCTGCATGTTCAACTGATACAGAGACTTATATAAATATATAAATAAGTATTAAACTTAATTGAGAGATATAAAGCAGTTAATGTATTTGAGCGATATTCTCTTTATTTTTGTAATTAAATATATATTCTACAACCTTTAGACTAGATAAAAGTGTTTACACTGATGAGGTGATAAAAACTACATGTAGGAAAGAAGTCAAAGTGTACTCACTTGAGATGTGGACTAAAACATTTTAACCAAACACTGCAAGTCTTCTTCACTTATTGAGATTAACTGGTTATAAGTCGTTGTTATCTTGCATGATTGGTGCATTTCACATGTGTATTCTTTCAGAGGTCAGCTAATATTGGCTGGGTTCCCCTGTTGTTGTGTTTCTTAATCAATTGGCCATCATGCTGATGTTTATTCTGGTATCATTTTTGATATTGTCAGGAGGAAGTGAGACCAAAATAATACTCCATCTCCAGTGTATTCATAGGGATGTATGACTGTGATACTTTCTTTTGTATGGTACTGATTAAAATGTTCCTCTACAGCTGCATAGTGTGCAATTGTATTGCCGATTGTTATATGAAGAAAGTTGCTAATTATAGGGTTTTAAAAAGAAATGGATGAATTTACTGGTAAATTATTACAACTATGAGCTGCTTCCTCATTAACTGTTGATAGCTCTCAGTTAGGGTTAAGAAATGTACAAATTAGTTGCCCAAATGTATGAACCACTTTTTGTTCCAGGTGTCACATACAACATTCCAGTGTGTGTCTGGCTGCAGGAGAACCATCCGTATGTTCCCCCACTTGTGTATGTCAAACCAACAAACACAATGGCTATCAAACCATCTCAATTTGTGGATTCCAATGGAAAAGTTTACCATCCTTTTCTGCATGAGTGGACTTATGTATGTTCATTAGCATCAACTTTCATCATTTCTCTCTATAACTTATGGATTAACCCTGTAATTCCCAGGAGTGACCAACACTGAATTTGTCCTTAAAAGATCAATCATATATATGAAGCAGACAGTGATGAGAATAAAGAAAAGTATCAATTGGGGAATTATCTGTTGATCCAATATTACTTCCAGCAAACTGACATTATAAGAATTGTTTGTTAAAATAATAGTAAGGAGAGTTATCAATGAGATCAGCAAATGATCAGGCTAGACTGCTGAAAATGCATGTTGCTTTTCTAGGATCATACATGATGATAGGCTTGTTTTTTTTTCTCAGGAATGATGATGACATGTAAGCATCTAACAGTAAGTTTTCTTCTCTTTCAGCCCAAATCTGATCTTGCTGCCTTGCTTCAGATTCTCTGTAGTATTTTTGCACAGCAGTCACCAGTTTATGCAAAAAGTGCACCAACACCACCACAACCTAGTAGTTACAATATGCCACAACAGCCAAGCTACCTCCCTCAGTATGGTGGTTACTCCCCCAATCCGGGGGCCATGCCACCATACCCTGTTGGAGCATCTACAGGAATGCCAATGCCACAACCTGGGCCAGTCCCCGGCAAGTTTACACCAGTAGTTATGATAAAAATGTTATTTACTTATTTCATATTTAGTACTACATGATTACTGTTTCAAATGAATTACATATGTCAATGATCATCTGTGAAAATATTCTGCATCATCCCTTGATCTTTATGGAGGAAGATTAAAACACTTCTCACTGTTATTCAACCTTAAATACAGAAGACTCAGTACTGAAAGTAGAAGGCAGGACTCACACAACAAGACAATGGTGTCCAGAAAACCTATCCTGTCAATTGTATAGAATCAGTCATCTGAATGCAATTTAATACCACCTGAGTTTTATCAAATGGCTAACGGACAGCTCAGATAGACATTTGAATGGAGTGACTGAGCTCAGCTCAGCAATTATTCATTTACTGAATGAGTGACTGGTCAACAGAGTACATGAAGCAACTCATACAGGAAACATTGTTTTTTTTCTTTGGTGATTAGTTTCATTTGTCTTTGTTGCTTAGGAAGCAGCCCAGGTAGACCAAGTGGTGGCAGACCTCCATATCCCCCTTATCCTCCAGGAGGTGGGTCCAATATGGGACCATCTAATCCCCCATACCATGTGCCAAATCATGCAAGCTATCCCCCTAGTACACAACCATCTTATTCTGGTCCAGCTGCCAGTATTCCACATGTCACTCAGGCTAATTTGGACACAACTAACAGCACAACTGCAGTGAGCAGCACTTTGAAGGATGAAGAAATTAAGCTATCACTACGGTCTGCAGTGGAAGACAAAATAAGAAGAAGTACAAAGGCATTGTTTCAGCAAGCACAGGTATACATAATCAGATTTGAACTCACTGTAGACTGCTAATCAACATCAGGACCAAAAAGCTTTGGAGACAATTTTGACTTATTTTACATTTCAGTTCATATGCATTGCAATCAGTTAGCCCACCTGTTGAGGACCACCTCAAAGTGCAAGTTTGTTTGGTAGAAAGTGTGTATTTATAAGACTACATGATTGGACCACAAGGAATCTTAGCATGATACAAATGCACTCACTAAAACCAGATCCTGGATAGGACAGGAATGTCCTCTATTCAGCTATAGCTTTTTAACCTTTTAACTCCCAAGATCTGATTGTCAATTCTCCCCTCCAGCTGCTACATATTTCCTTGTAAATTAGTTTTGAGAATTTGTTGTAAGATCAAGGCAACAAATTCTAACTGGTAAGTGTGAGTATTCTCATTACCTTTTTGCTGAAAAATGTACAGATAGTGAATGAAGAAGTCACCTGTCAATCTCTTCTGAGAGCTAAAGGGTTAACAGGTAGTACGGAAAAATTCGTCACCTATTTTCGGCTCACTTTTTTTTGACAGATTGAATTAGATGAGTTGAACAGAACCCAGAATGAGTTAAAACGGGGAAGTGAAAAACTACAAGATATTTTACAGAAACTGGAAAGAGAACAGGTAACAGCTAGAAATATGTTAAAACTTTGTGGGGAGTAAATTCACTTTCCTTCTCTCTCTATTAGTTCAATAAGCCCATTTTCAGTCGCTTTCGAGAGATTACTTCGATGAATAATTATGACAACTACCGGCATATACAGAGAGTATATGCATCAAGAATTGACTTCGTTATTGAAATGTGCAGAAAGGGACAATCTCTCAATTTGATTAAATCTTTGATTAACGGTGTCTAATCAAATTTCTTAAGTGATCATCCAGTGGAACTGAGAAATTAACGGATTGAGTTGTGGCTTATTTGCCATATTGTCAATCACGCAAGGCAAGGCATATCGCTCCTCTTGCTCTGTGGATGTATAAAAGTCCACTGACATGCTGAAGCTGCGTACAAGGCTGGCACATGGCAATGTGAAAAAGGTAGAAATTGTCTTGCTCCAGAATTCAGCGCAGCTGTCCTCAGGATAAACTAGAATTTGGAAAGTAGGTGGGTAAGGGGGAGCACTTAAAAGAGCTTGGAGAGAAGGCGGAGGTTCCGCTGATGTCTTCCAACCCTGAGCCGGAAAGTAACGTATTAGATCAGAGTAGTAAAAATTTGTCAGTTCATTCCAAAGTAGAATGTACACGGTCAATATTCGCGTGCTTAACCCCTGTTAAAGCCTGAAGTGTTCGAATGACCGTTCC